TTGAATTGGAATGGTATGTTGAAGTTTTTCTTTTTTATATCTTTTTCTCTTTTATATATCCAATGGTCTTTATGAATTCAAAGAAATAGTTGAAGTTGAAGATGTAGTTGATGTAGTTGAAGATGTAGTTGAAGCTACTACTGTTCTCTCCTTTTCTATTCTAAAATAAAGTACAAAAAATTATATCAATCATATCAATGATATCAATTATATCAAATATATCGCAGGCACGCATTGCATACTTCAGCCGATTTTTGGTTTGGTTTCGCTTGGTAGTATTATTTCCCTTACTAATCCGCAGACAGTCTGAATGTCAATCAACATTTGAACTGCGCTCGGGACCATGAGATAAGAGGAACAGCGCTAGGCAGAGTCAAGCTGAAAATTAGCCAAAATGTATAATATAATACATACCGAATTACATTAATTATCATAAAAATTAATAATTATATACTTTCTGGTAATGTAATTATGAAATATTTCTTTTAGTTTTAGTAAAAGCTGAAATTAGAAAACTGACCTCTGCGATGACTACTTTTATATTTTTTAAAGCTGTTACGTCCAGCCCGAGATAATTATTTTTAAAGAGAAAATGAATGGATTAGGAAGGACTGCAAATACCCTCTCGCAGGTGAGCGCGCTGAGGCGCTCCTACGTCGAACGCACCGTGCAGATCCACGAGTGCGAGTCAATGTCTTGAGAAAGACGCTATGATTTCGACTGCGTGACGTGCGTCCATCGGTTCGTAATTTAGGCAAGAGAATTTAATCTCTTTTGCCAGGGACAGGACCATGTGCGAATCTTGGGATAGCGGGGAACGAAAGAGGGAGGAAATAACTAAACGTCAAATAATTTAAATTCTACATATAATTGATAATTTTAAATGAATACAAATTTAACAAAACTACAAGATCTCATTATTTCTTGTTTTCAAATACATTTGCTTAAGGTATATTTACATTTGATAAAAAAATGTTATATATGATTGAATATTCTAGAAAATTTACGAATACATTATTCGGTTTTTGTATAATTCAATTATATTTGTATGTTTATCCACATTTTATAATTCTTTCTTATTCTACGTTGGATTATTTTATATATTTAAATTTATATTTTGGTATCCGTGTGTGTGCGTGATTGTTTCGAGGAGGAGATTGGATTTCTGGTGGTGAGGTCTAGAGAGGGAGGGGAAGGAGTTCGGAGTTCGCAGAACTCATCCAAGGATTCCTTAGTGAGGAAATTTGAATGTTGGATTTGGAAATCCGGGTCATGACGCTCCGGGAAAAGTGTGCTGAAATCTGGAGGTGACCCAGCCTCAGATGGTCTAATCGGGGAATAGGACGGAGGGGAAATACTCGGTGAATAAAGTGTTGTGCCAGAGCAACTCGTAGTTTCGTCAGTCCATGTAGAAATCTCGGATCCTATCCTTGCCGAGGGGTAATTGGCTGATCGACGAGCTCGCTTATTGCGACGATAACGGAGCCTCTTCAGGGCTCGCCTCCGTCTCTGAGTCGGAAAGAGAGGATGATGTAGATTTCATTGGAAGAAATGGATTAATGAGAGTAATTGTTGGAGTGTGAGAGAAATATCATTGGCCGTAAACCTTAAGGCTATCTCTGAAATATGTTGGGAAGCCGAGAGGTTCGACGAAGGAGAAAAATGAAGAAGGGAAAGAGAAAATTGTAAAAGAGTAGATTTCCCGAATTATTCGGTGGCCATGAACCTGCTGAGTGCTCCACAACGCATAGGAGCCAGAGAGATTCGACAGCCACAGCAAAGAGGAAAAGAGAAAGAAAAAGGGGAGTAGAATGTAAGGAGAAACGGCAGAGGATAGAAAGGACGTAAGGGAGAAATGAGAAAATATAAAGAGAAGAGACCCAAGAGTTATTATTAGAAAACTATGTGTAGTTAAACTTACTGTTATTCTAGCTGGAATGCCGGAGACTTGGGACTTGCGAGGTGATGAAGGTGGAAGCGATATCACCAAGAAACTTGGTCACTTGTACTTGGTGAAAAAAAAATATTTCGACTGACACCGACTGATTGAATTACTGACAAATTGACTGAAAACTATTCTGGCCGAGTAAAAAAAAAA